CCCCCCCGCCCCGCCCCTTCTTACCCGTATGAGGGATCCCCAGGCTGGCGCGGCTCTGTTGCGACGAGGCCGAGTGAGAGAGCGAGTCCACGTACTGGTCCAAAATGGAGGCCATGCCGGCTCTGGTGCTCCCTCAGGCTGAGAGACCTTCCCCAAAACACACAACTGCCTTTTTCCTGTCTGCAGCGCCTACTCAGCTGACCAACACCAAGCAGCGCCCCGGAACGACACTTCCTACTTCCGGTTCTAGCCTTTGACCATAGAGAGGTATACAGGAATGCCCTAGAGCGGCACTCTTTGCTTCTAGTTCTATATTTTGACCAAAGAGAGGTCCCCAGGGAAGCCCTAGAGCAGCACTCCCTGCTTCCGGTTCGATCTTTTGACCATAGAGGGGCCCCCAATTAAGGTTGCTATCTAGGCCTGCAGAAATAACCCAGTCTGATACCACTTTGGGGGGGTTGCAGACTGTCAGAAATAGTGCAAATTGAGTCCACTTTTAGGGTTAGGGTTAGTGCTAGGGAATCATGGGAATTGTGTTTTTTTCTGAGACATTGAGCCTTTTCTGTCAGAGAGCTCTGGTGCCACAATAAAATACACTTCCCATGATTCCCTAACCCTTAAAGTGGACTCAATTTGCACTATTTCTGGCAGTCTGCAACCCTCTTTGACTGCCATGGCTCAAGGCTAAGGAAGTGTAGTTTGTTGTGGCACCAGAGCGCTCTCTCTCTCTCTCTGACAGAGAAGGTTAAATGTCCCATCAAACTACAGTTCCCAGAATTCCATATTCATATGTAAACTAGATACTTCGTTGTATATAACAACAGAGGTTCAAAACACACTGCAGAAATAATCCAGTTTGAGACCGCTTTAACTGCCCTGGCTCAGTGCTAGGGAATCCTGGGAATGATAGTTTGTTGTGGCATCAGAGCTCTGTGACAGAGAAGGCCAAGTCTCACAAAACTACTGTAGTTAGGGCAGTCAATCCTAACTGCCCTAGGATTGAGCCAGGGCACTTAAAGCAGTCCCAAACTGGATTATATCTGCAGTGTGTTTGGACCTTAGTTGGTATTGAAAAACACTTATATCAGCAAGGAAGATGAAGTAATTTGATTTCTTGGAAATTTAACAAAGTTGTAGAAGTGGAAGTAACTTTTTTAATGAATGTGTTTAATTAGATGTTAAATATGTTGTGAATGGATGGATGTTGTGGATCCAGGGGTAGGCAACCTTTCCCCTTTAAGGGCCGAGGGACTTCAGCTCCCAGAATCCCAGGAGCTATTGGCCAACATGGGACTATTGGCCAACATGGCTGAGGCTTCTGGGAACTGAAGTCCCTCGGCCCTTAAAGGGGAAAGGCTGCCTACCCCTGGTGGATGACGTACAATGGATGATAATTGCATTTTGTCTTTGTTTATGTGTGTGTGTGTTTCCCCCCCTCAATTTTTATTCTTTGTTTTAAAAAATCTAGTAATAAAGATACACACACACACACACACACACACACAAGCTACAATTCCCAGAATTCCATAGCATGGAGATATGGCTCTTAAAATGGTTTGAAGCTGGACTGTTTCTGCCGTGTAGAAACACTTTGGTCTGATTGTGTGTGTGTGTGTGTGTTGTGTACCTTCAAAGTGTTTCCCACTTATGGTAACCCCAAGGCAACCCTATCTTGGGGTTTCCTTGGCAAGATTTGTTCAGAGGAGGTTTGCCATTGCCTTCGTCTGAGGGGGGTTGCAGACTGCCAGAAATAGTGCAAATTGAGTCCACTTTTAGGGTTAGGGTTAGTGCTAGGGAATCATGGGAACTGTATTTTATTGTGGCACCAGAGCTCTCTGGCAGAGAAGGCTTAATGTCTCAGAAAAAAAACCAATTCCCATGATTCCCTAGTACTAACCCTAACCCTAAAAGTGGACTCAATTTGCACTATTTCTGGCAGTCTGCAACCCCCCTGAGTCTGAGAGTGTGCAACTTGCCCAGCATCACACAGTGGGTTTTATGGCTGAGCCGGGAATCGAACCCTGGTCTCCAGAGTCATAGTCCAGCACTCAAACCACTACACGACGTTGGCTTTGATTAAATGGTTGCATCTCTATACTGTAGGAATAATGCAGTTTGACACCATTTTAATTGCCATGGCTCCGTCCTATAGAGTCTTGGGATTTGTTGTTCTGTGAGGCCACACAAGCAGAGAAGACTAAAGGCCTTGTAAAACTACAAATGCCAGGATTCCATAGGATGCCACTACAGCACTTAAAGTGGTCTCAAACTACTTTATTTCTACAGTGGGCTGCTGCCACACTGCAGAACTAAGGCAGTTTAACCCCACTTTAACTGGCATAGCTCCATCCAATAGAATCCTGGGGTTTGTAATTTGTTGTGGCACCAGAGCTCTCTGACAGATACAGATACACACACACACACTGCTGTTCCTTCACAGGAAAGACAAGTTCCTGTGGGATTATCTCTCTCTCTCTCTCTCTCTCTCTTCCCACGCTGCTCTCAAAAGTGGCAAGAAAGCGATATGAGCATCATTCCAGTACTATAGCGCTAGTATAAATATGGCGCTAGCGCTATAATAGCGCTATGGATAAGCTAGCGCTATTGCAATGCCAGCTGAAGCTGACATTCAAAAGAATGCGATTGATGTTGCATTCCGAGTGGTTTCTTGCTGGATTCTGAGCGACGTCGTGTAATCACACAGAAAACTATAGC